CCCATCCTTTGATGGCGGCTCCCGCGAATAGGGTGCGCAGCGTCGTCGGCTTCACCACAGGGGCAAACAGCTCCTTGAAGTCCACCTTCTCCTTCTGCTGGTACCCCTTGGCTACAAGCCTAGACTTGTAACGCTCGATCTTGCCGTCGGCATCCGACTTGATTTTGAAGAGCCACTTGGATGTTATCGCCGTACGCCCCTCCGGTAGCTCCACCAATTCAAACGTGTCATTCTCCTCGATGCTCTTCAGCTCACTCTCCATGGCCTTCTTCCACTCCTCAGCATCACTACTCTCCAAAGCCTCCTTGAGAGTTGTTGGTTCTCCCGGCATGTCCACCGGAGAGAAGAACGCGAAGGCACACTTCTCGTAGTCACTCTCCTCATCGTCTCCGACCATCATTGCCGCTCCGGCCAGGGCTGTCTTGCCTTGCTTTCCAAGTGCATCATAGGTCAGCCTATTAGGGGGTTGAAATCTCCTCTTCCCCCTTCCTTCCTCCTCAGCTGCAGCGACTTGAAGGCCTTGGCGTTGCTGCGGTGTGGCTCGATTCCGTGGAGCACTCGTGGTACGGGAAGGGAGTGACGGTGCACGCTCGCTCACTTGCTGCACCTCCTCCTCTTCTTCCTCTGCATCAGTGGCCTCCTCTCCCCCATTCACAAGGGAGGATTGCCTCGTGGTTGTGCTGCCGCTGCTCAGCTCCAAAGGCAGCTCCACATGCTCCAAACCGGAACTCTTCACCTCCCCAAACCGCACGCCTATCTTCGCCTCATTCTCCGCCTTCCAATCCTTGTACATGAAGTTCTCCATGAACTTGCAGTCCCTGCTCACCAAGAACTTCTTGGTGAATGGGTCTAGAAGAAGTCATCCCTTGCTGTTTTGAGCCATGCCCAAGTGCACGGCCCACACCGCCTTGGCACCAAGCTTGTTGTGCCGAAGATGCTTAGGCACAAGCGCCATGCACATGCACCCGAACACCCGAAGCATATCCACCTTTGGCTTCCTTCCTAGCCACTCCACATAGGGCACCCATTTGTCTGCTCCCACATGAGTCAAGGCTCTGTTCTTGGCCACACATGCGCTCCGCACCGCATCAGGCCAGAAATAGTCGGGTAGCCCGGCTTCAATGAGCAACCCGCGTGCCGCCTCCGTGATTGTGCGGTTCGCTCGCTTAGCGATGCCGTTCATTGCAGGGGAGTATGGCATGGTGAGGGAGTGTCGAATACCATTCTTCTTCAGCCACAACCCAAACTCCTTGCTCAGGAACTCTCCCCCTCGATCGGTGCGGATTGACTTGACTAGACGGTCTTGTTGCCGCTCCACCATCGGGAACCAATCCGCCTTCAACGTTTCAGCCACGTCACTCTTCTTGGCCAGCACGTACACCCAAGTCATGCGGGTGTAGACGTCAACAATGGTGAGAAAATACTCAGCTCCAGTAGCTCCAAGCTTCAGGGGGCCCACCACGTCCATCACCACCTCATCAAGCGGTGCCTTTGCCGTTGCCTCCGAACTAGAGAACGGAAACCGGGTGAACTTGGCTTGAATGCACGTCGGGCAGCCAAGCACCTCATCGGGCTCCCCCTTCACACATATGCCAGCAACCATCTCATTCTTCACTAGCTGCTGCAAGATAGGCAGGGCCACATGCCCCATGCGCCGATGCAAGGTGAGCCAATCACACTCCCCCGTAGCCGAAGTTGGATTAGAGAATGCCGCGCTCGCAATAGCGCCCCACATACTCTCTCCGTAGTCCTCCTCCGCTGCTGCCTCGGGGTTCTCCTCACCCTTTTGCTGCCCCTTGGCTGCTGCACCACTCTCCTTAGGTTCACTGAACTTGCTGGTCCCTCCAGGTTTGCTCTTCTTGAGCTCATTCTCCTTAGCGCGACCGTTCGCGCCATCGTCGCTACCGGCCGCTCCATCCTTGGTGCTGATGCTTGCTGCCACTTGCCTCTCCTTAGGCATAGGGACCACTGGGATCTGCCACATCTCGTTGTAGACATCCCTGTCCTCATGAAGGTCCCAGAGAATTCGATCGCCAAGCCTTGCGGTGTAGGTCTTGGCTCCCTTCGAGTTAGTGTCCATGCCGGCCTTTGCCAACCGCCGCACGGAAATCAGGTTTGCAGCAAGGCTGGGCACCCAAAGCACGTTCTTGAGGCCCACCATCTTCCCATCAGCACCCTTGAACATGGCCTTCCCCATGCCTTTCACCTCTGCTTGCTGCCCCAAAGCCGATGTGACATGCTTCACCGGTGATGGCTCGAGTTCGGTGAGCAAGTCCGGGCGAGGTGTCATGCTATAGGTAGCGCCACTATCAATCACCCAATAGTCCAGGGGGTGTAGGGTCACCTTCCCCACAGCTGCTGGCTCCTCAAAGCCTTCATCCTTCTCTGGACCAGCCGGTACTTGCGTCGACACGAAGTAGAATAGACCCGGGTATCGATCGTCGCTCGGGTCCTTGTCGTTGTCTCCGTTCTTTATGTTTGCAGCTCCGCCACCGCGACCGCCACGGCCTCCACGGCCTCTTCCTCTCCCTCCTCCTGCTCCTCTACCCTCTTGGCCTTGAGCAGGGGTCCAACCATCAGGGAGTTTGTAGCAGTCGCGCCACATGTGTCCGCTCTTGTGGCAATAGTGACACTCAACGTCGAATCGGCCGCGACCGCGTCCGTAGCTCTTGTCATTGCTGCCGTAACTGCCACTCCCGCGGCCTCCGCCGAAGTTGCTGCCACCAAACCTTCCTCCCCCTCGTCCTCTGCCTCTTCCTCGACCATATCAACGGCCGATGCTCGCTGCCCCAGCGCCATCCGCACTCGCCAACTCACGGCGGCGGAAATCCTCTTGAAGGATAGCTCGCTTCACGTCTTCAAGCGAGAGGCGGGGCAAATCACGATTGAGGTTGATGATGAGCGAGGACCATGATTCGGGGAGTAGGGCCAGCAACTTGGTCTTCTTTTGGAGCTCACTATAGTTCAAATCCGCTCACTCAAGCCGCGTCAACAAGTCGAAGAATTTCTGCACCCCTTCTTCAACCGCTTCATCCTCTTCAATTCGTAACGTCGCCATTTGCCGTTCCAACACCACAGCTACCGCCGCTGTTGCAGGAGCGTGTACACCCTTGAGAGCAGCCCATGCTTTTGGTCCCTTCTCAGGTTCACGCTGGAAAGGCTTGATGTGACGGATTTGGCTGCTCCCCAACGCTTGCCCAAGTAGGAGGTAGCCTTGTGCGCTCTTCCGCACCCACGGGCTCTTCTCCGGGTCGTTCTCGGGACGCTTCTCCGTTCCTTCCATCACCTCCAGCAGGTCATAGTGGTCAAATATGTTCTCCATTCTGAAGGACCACTCAGCAAAGTTGTCACCATTGAACTTGTCAAGGCCAAACACTCTAGGCTCATCCCTAGATGGGCCAACACTTGGTTGCACGGGCGCCATGGCTGAGTCACGGGGTTGGCCTTGAGCTTGGGCTTCTCCTCTGCCACCAGCACCTCTGCCACCCCTTTCCTCAGGTCCAGCCATTGTCGAAACTGCTCCGAGGGGCTCTGATACCACTTGTTATAGTCACAGTAGGCTCCAATGTGCCTAAAACGAAAGATAGAGTGCACAGTCGGATTTCTGCACAACGGCTTCAAACGTTCATACCGTTCTGGTCACAGCTTCAAATGACTTGATTCAACTTGGATCTGGAGCGTCTTATTGTCGCCTACAATAGGCAATTTAGATCGCACGATTTGATCAAGTATTGACGACACAGCGTTGATTTGAACGAACGGCACTATGGCAGCCACTATAGTCTTAGAACACAAGATAGGAAGAGTTAGGAAGAGTTACGAGTTGGGAATGACTCCCAGCTCCTACAAACCCCAAGAGCCGAGGTACAGTGATGTGGAACAGTGCCACACTGTCCCCAACCACGAAGGGTCTCGAAACTACCCTTCACTAGGGCCTACACCAAGTGAAATGTTACACTACACAAAGTAATGTAACTATCTTCAATATCTTGAGGTGTACCCTTTTGGCGAGCTTTGAAGTCACTTGTGGATTGACACCAAGGCTCGGCTCTTCATCACAAACTCATCCTTGAGTTCTTGATGGGTCTGCTGCACACACCTGCGACACACCGAACGTTTGACACAGGACAAAAGAGAAACCGCGCACGACAAAATAGAAACCGCGCGCGAGACACAAACGACCGCGTAACACGCGTCTAGCGATAACTCGCTATTGACTCGACACATACACTCGACATCATGACTCAACATTCACACAAAATTATAAGCATTAAATATATATTATCCCATGCCCTCATACCATTCCATACACACACACATGCACGCACACGGACAACAAGCCGAGTGCAAACCATAGGGTTGCACCAACAATGTAGTGGTGCGCTTCAACCAACATTGGCATCGTCGTGTAATGTGAGAATACATGTATAGCCAAGTTTCTTTCGGACCTTAACGACTCCCTTGCAAGTGCGAGCATAATAATTGTGGTGTGCATTGAGGTAATGGTTGATACCACGCTCAAATGCATATGCACATGATTTAGTTTGACTGGTCCTTCAGTACCAAATCTCCCGTTCATGCCATCTATTATCTACCACAACAACAATTTTGAGCTTATTATCAAAGATGATAGCCATGGCTACATGGTAGAGGAGCTTCAACCTGTGTGACAAGTCATATAAATAATAGTTTATATGTGGCTCCCAACCCACTCGTCGTTCACATCCGTACTTACACGCATATATCTCTAACTTGTTTGCATATTGCTAATGAACAGGCCCTTAGATTGGTTTGAGGGTATGCTGATGGATCAGCGTGCCCGCGCCAAATAGGTGTCCAAGTCAGCGTTCGTGGGTATGTGTATACTGATTTTGTCAATGTAAATATTCATACTAAACTGAAACATAAGTGTTAAAAACACTTCTGAGCTGACGCAACAGTGAGTGCGTGCAGGCATGAGTGTGTAAGATGGCCTTCAAACCTGCATGAAAGGGCTGCTCCTACTTGGGGGCAGTGGAGAGGCCCGGCAAAAGCGTGCGCAGCTCCACTCGTGCTGCACGCTTCTGGACACCTGCCAAACGGGCGAGCACACCAGGGTAGATCGTCAGACGCACAGATTGAGAAGAAAGTCAACCGGGGAAACGTGCAGGCACACATGCAGGTCATGAATCTATGACTGCTCACCAGGCAAGATGGTGTCTCGGTTCTTGGCCTGAAAGAGTTGCACGAGGCCGCTCAGGTGCTCCTTGCACTCCGCATCTCTTGCCTCGGCGCCCCTCTGCCACGAACGGGGCTTGAAGAGCTTCGCCCCGTTCAAGCGCGTCAGGTCCCCCAAGAGCAGCTCGAGGTTATACACCAGCTCGCGGGCGAATGAGCGGCAGTAGGTGTAACATCCTTGCATGTCCCCACTGCTGGTGGTGTACCCCTTCACAGATTCCTTGTGCAGCTGAAACTTGTGTACCCGTCGCTGACCCTCCTTGTCCACCCCCTCCACAGTCACTTTACGGCAGTCAGGCGAGGCGTGCCGCGCGAGGAATGCAGACAGCAGCTCGCTGGTCCCACCGCCAAACTGTTGTCCACATTGCATGTACCTCTGCTCGATGTAGATGATGGTCCGTCTCACCTGGGAGTGCACTCCAGTGAGGTCAACCTGGTGTTCGGGGGAGGAAGGGAACATCGGAACATAAGATAAGTACAAGGGAGATGAAGAAATGCACAGAGAGTGGCAGATGGACAACTCACATGACGACCCTAGAATAGCAGGTTGAGCGCGTTGAGTGTCGTGTGCACGTCCGCCGGGAAAAAACAGGAAGAACTGAAATTTGAACGACGTCACCAGGTGGTACATCGTCGCGTCCGTCTCCTCGAGGAGCACAATCACAGCAGGCAGAACGCGGACGAAACGTGCAATCACCGCGACTTAACCAGCGCATGGAATGGATCCCCTGGACCTCGAGGTTGGTATGAGTAAAGACTTCCAACAACTCCTGGAACTTGTGGTTGTAGGGCTTGGATTTGCCGAGATCTTCCGCCAGTGAGCGGATAACCGCGTCGATAATGCCCAGCTCCGGTAGTGCCTTAGCCGCATCCTTTGCAGCTAGAGCGTCCCTGCCACGGGGACAACAGCACGGTCGGTTGGTAAGTATACTAGAAGTAACATATCAAGTACCGCATATTCAACAGCAAGACGATACCAGCACAGCAACATCTTACCTGTGAGCGATGCAGTGAGAGGCCACCACGTGCGGGATCTCCAGCCGAAGACTCCCAACGAGGCCGTGTCTGCGCCGATCATCACAGGAGCCCCATCGGTGCTGATACCCGCCACCTTTTCCAGCAGCAGACTGATACTGTCAAGAAATCCTTTGAGCACAGCATGTAGAAAGGCTGCATCACACTTCTCAATGGTGAGGTTAGCTAGAAACTCGGTAACGACGGCATGCTCACGCAGAACAGCATCACAAACAAGATCATGTGCTTCCCTTTGACGCGGTCTGTACTCTCGTCGCAGGTCAGACCAATGAAAGGACTAGAGTCAATGTACTCTCTCTGGCACGCATGCAGGTATGGCGCTATTGCGGCGGTAATCTCTTCAAAGCCGTACCTGCACGGCCATCAACACATTTGGTTAGTAAAAGCTTCACATAGTACACACTCTGCATTGTTAGCAAGTACACCACTCTTACTTACGTCGTGTAGTAGGAGCCATAACCGCTCATTTGGAAAGCCGGGCATGCCACGACACGCCAGATGTCGGGCGAGGTCCACGTACATCTTGATCGGCGCATCGGACTTAGCGAGGAAGAGTGCGGTCTCAAAGAGCGAGATCATGCGCTCCTTCTTAACGTCTTTCGCCTTCGGGTTGTCGTCGATCCGGCGGTTAGCCTTGAGCGCTGCCTCGGCTGTCTTCTTTCGTCGCAGAGCTCAGCGGTGCTTTCTTGTGCGCTGATGATTCCGCATTGCCTGGGTCTGCACATCGGTCGCCCCTTCTCCGTTGGCGCCAAAGTTGGTGCCCACACCACCGTGCGCAATGCAGACCGTGCACTTCCTTGACGGGAACCCAAATTTCGTGTGACACAGCACAAGCCACGGGTGGGGAGTCAGACCACTGTTTGTTATACATAAATAAGGCTTCCTAATATTTATCCTCGGCTATGTCTGGCAACTCTGTTTCATAAGTCTCCTCAACTGCTTTCCCCTTGCGTTTACGCTGTTGGGCCTTTGGGGAGGAGTTCCCCACACCCGACGTTGGCGTAGCTTCATCTGCACCCCACTGTATCTTCGTCTGGAGGTACTTCACTTTGATACCCCGTTTGAGACGTGGGCCTTTGCGAGTAGTTCCCGCAGCGTCAGGATGACGGTTTTGTGTGGGGTCGGAAGCGGCAGGAGTTAAAGCGGCAGCGCCAGGAGTTGATGTGGCTGCAACAGGAGGTGATGCGGCAGAGGCGACATGCGTCGAACACTCACTCTGCGTCCAGATGGTAGGACCCTCGGGGCCCGAGGAAGGGAGAACAACTTCTGGAACTGATGGCGAGACAAACGCGGGAGCAGTTGAAGCTCGTCGTAACAGGTCAAGGCCAGTAAGGGCGACTGGCTTCGTGGCAGTGTTGGATTCAGGGCCGTCGCCTGCGGGCGACGAAACCGCCATGGCTGCTCAGCTCTGCCGAGCGTGCCGAGCTTGGGAGGGAAGGAAGCTACTCGTGCCTACGCTTGCGCTCCAACGTCACTTTCTGCAAGGGTTCACGACGAGTGCAGGAACAGAATGAGGGAGCAGATGGGGGTACCCCCTTCTCCCTGTTGGGCTGAGTGCCCCTTAGGATCTTTGGTAGGGTTAAACTCTGGATAGAGTGATGTAGTAGCGGAAGCGTTAATAAAGAGATTCTGAACCACCTTGCGCTAGTATGTGAGGGCAAATTAAGTTGATTAAAACAAGCAAGTACAAAGGTTTATATAAGAGTACAAGGAATACGAAGAGATATAATTCAACTGTTTTACTGTTGCGGCTCGATACAGTGCGACTCGGGCAACTGCTCAATGTCGAATCAGTTGTGTGTCCTTGCTGTCGCGCTGTATTTGTCAAGTCAAAGATCGCTGACCTTTGACTTTCCCGTAACCTCCAGCGGTTACTTCAACCTCCGCGGGTTGACTCGCTGGTGCCTCGATATGCTCTGTTTCGCTTGTGCCTTAGTGTTTCGACACGACAGAGGTGCTTATCAAAGTCCTAGTGAGAGTTAGGCTTAGGAGCCATAGCTTAGGAGCCTTGGTTGAGTCTGAGTAGTTGAGTTAGAGAGAAGTCGAGAAGGTTGAAAAAGAGGAGAAAAGAGGGTTTCACTATAGAGCGAGCAGTACAAATAGGCAAGAAGAAAGGTGCACCACCAAACAGAACATTATATAACTACAGTAGTCTACACTACAGGCAGTTACAAAACAATATATAGAATTATATATTATTCTGACACGCCCCCATAAGTGCCTGTAGGGAAGAATGTGTAGTCAACGCCCCCATAATGGGGTACACGAGGCAGAGTGAGCAGCAGAACGGGAGAGGGCAGGCAAGGAGGAGAGAGAGAGGGAGAGAGAGAGGAGAGGAGGTGATAGGCTCTGGTTGGTCACCACCTACATCCCCTCATCCTCCCCCTCCCCCTCCCCCTCCCACACTGCTGCAGGAGCAGCAGAGGGGGGGGGCAAACGGAGGAGGATGGGGCCGTAGGGCCAGGGGACCACACATCACCCATCACCCCCACACCCGCCACCCCCAGTCCCTCCCCGGGCTCCCCCACACTCTCACACCCTCCCCCCCAGCGGCAGCTGCAGCAGAGGGAACAAAAGGAGGAGGAGAAGGGAGGGGGGGGGGGGGGGGCGACGCACGGCCTCCCCGGGCGCCAAAGCAAGCGGCAGAGGGGGCGACGACTGCCCCCCCCTTTCAGGCGGCCCCCTCAGGTCGCCTCGACAGGTGACGGGAAGAAGGGGGGGGGCGGGACCGCAAGTGGGTGGGGCCAAAGTGGGCGACAGGGCCGCAAGGGTGGGCGGGGCCACAGGTGGCGACGGGGCCTCAGGTGGCGGGGCCGCAGGTGACATCGAGGCCTCTGGTGGCGAGGCCGCAGGTGTAGGAGACGGGGCCGGGGCCGAGGGCGGCGACGGGGCCGCAACAGAGGGCGGCGGGGCCGCAGCTGAGGGCGGCGACGGGGCCGCAGGTGAGAGCGGCGACGGGGCCGCAGCTGAGGGCGGCGACGGAGCCGCAACAGAGGGCGGCGGGGCCGCAGCTGAGGGCGGCGACGGGGCCGCAGGTGAGAGCGGCGATGGGGCCGCAGCTGAGGGCGGCGACTGGTCGGGGCCGCTGGTAGGTAACGGGGCCGTGCCGCAAGTGGGCGACGGGGCCGTAGCAAGGGTGGCGGGGCCGCAGTGAAGGGCGGCGAGGCCGCGACGTAGGGCGGCGAGGCCGCAGAGTAGGGCGGCGGGGCCGCAACGTAGGGCGGCGGGGCCGCAACAGGAGGGTGGCGAGGCCGCGACAGTAGTGCGGCGAGGCCGCGACAGCAGAGAGGCGGCGAGGCTGCGACAGTAGGGCGGCGGGGCCGCTTAAGCAGTGCGGCGGGGCCGCGACGAAGGGCGGCGAGGCCACGTCAGTAGGGCACACCACGGGGCGTGCAGTACACTCAGTAACAGCGGAAGCAAGAGTCCAGGAGCGGAACATGCTCTGATAACATATCAAAGTCCTAGTGAGAGTTAGGCTTAGGAGCCATAGCTTAGGAGCCTTGGTTGAGTTCGAGGAGTTGAGTTAGAGAGAAGTCGAGAATGTTGAAAAAGAGGAGAAAAGAGGGTTTCACTATAGAGCGAGCAGTACAAATAGGCAAGAAGAAAGGTGCACCACCAAACAGAACATTATATAACTACAGTAGTCTACACTAGAGGCAGTTACAAAACAATATATAGAATTACCGTCATACCCCGGATATAAGAGCCACCCGCGGATAAGCGCCTGGCGCTTTTAATTGGCGTGTGGCGCTTATATCCGGTGCTCGATTATAAGCGCACCCCCTGAAGGCTTACGTATTATAAGAGCCACCATTTGTATTAGTTTTTATAAAGTTACTGGAATCTCTGTAGCGAAACACACTATTTGCATCCTCACTTGATAAAATTTCGACCCTTCACCCTCGCGCGACTCACTGCCCCACCTTCGCGCGACTCATTTGACTGCGCGTCCAGTCAGAATGAGCTGTCATGGGGCGAAATGACTCATTCTGGCTGTGTGTGTTGGCAGTTTGCAAACGTACGCGAGATTCTTCTTCACACCCACTATGATCTTGACTCGATTGAAATCGCAATGACAAGATGAACATTTTGAAGTGAAAACAACTAGATTTCATATATGTCATTGTATAAGCCCCGGCGCTTATAAAA